CCCCCCCGAACCAGGCCTCAAAACTGTCCAAAATTCCTTTTGTCTTCTAAAAATCCATCTACAGCTTTTCTGTGGATTCTCACAAGATGCTGGTACATAGGCAAAATGTTATTCTTTTATCAGCACGAGAAGGCTTCAAAAGACTAATGAATAGGCTCTGTCATTGCCAAGAATACTCAGGCCTGAGAACTGAATCTTATCTCATTCTAGTTGCAACATCTTTGGACACGCTGAACCATAAGGCTCCCCGACCCACCCCCTTTGGCTTCTCACCCCTTTCCTGGGAAGGATGCCAGAGTCCACAATAGTCCCAAGAGAGCTTTCTGTTCATGCTCAGGGGAACTCATGGGGCAGGACTCCTGGAGAAGGAGGAGAAAGGGGAGGGAACTGGAAGGAGAATATATGCTCTGTGCACATGACTGTGAACCCGTGCATGCTTTTTGTGAGTTATCACACTTGCTCCTTCTACCAGTTCATGGATGCTAAAAATAAAAGCCTTTTCTCCGAAACTATTCCTTGAGTGTCTGTTGACTCCCATTTTCCCTTTCCCGGGCGCAATATTTTTCCCACCCGAGGCCAAAGCCTCATAAGACTACACAACAACAACAACAACAGTCAATCATATTCTCTGGATTGATTTCCATTCTGGATATGAGATGAATAACCAAGCACCATCAATTTCTGCTTCTGTTTCTCTGCCATGCCTACTCCCTGGGAATTGTGCATAGTTGTGACCTTTTCCTGGATCATGTGTGTCCATTTCATCAGGAGAGCAGCTAGGATTCTGTTTCAATTATTCTTAAATGTCATTTTTGAAGTCCATTAGTGAAGTATCACTGCCTAACAAGATCATATTACGGCAACCACTCCAAATGAAAACTCTCCCTAAATCCAAAAATTATCTTATTACGGATGCATTAGATGGTGTAAATGATATAATGAACTGATGAAACATTCCACTTCATCCCTAGAAAAGAAAAAAACCCTCCATGGCTTCTTCCCACTCTGTTAACTGCCAATGGATTGCATCGTTATACGAATCTGGAAATGAATATCGTCATACTTTGTAAGCTCATGATCTTTGCAATGAATTATAACTCATTTTGGGTTGCCTTGGGCAAGATAAAGAGACTAACAGATTTAATAAGTAAAAAGTAAAAAAAAAAAAAAGTAATTGCTAGGTTCTGCTTATTAAATGGTGTTGGCCAGAAAATGCAATATAATGTTGTAATATAAAGTTATAATGTTTATAACTCTATCATAGACTCATAGAGTTGGAAGGAACTATCAGCAGGAATCTTTCACCCAACATGGGGCTCAAACCTATGATCTGAGATTAAGAGTCTCATGCTCTGCTCTAAGTGCCACACTTTGCTTGGAGCCCTTGCTGGCTGTTTCTTTCTAGTGGGTCTTAAAAGTCCTTCATCCACAATGAAAAGCCATATTACACGCTGTTTTGTCTCAGACAATACTTTGATAATGACACAACCTTAGTCTCCATCCTTTATCCCTCTCTTTCCAAACACAATAGTCCTTGCTGGCAGTGGCACACTTAAAATCTAACAGACACAATGCAAATGAAAAATGGAATAAGGAAGGGGATAGGGAGCCAAGTAAACCCAAGTACCAATTCTTACACAAAAATCACATAATTAAAAACAATACATCCTTTATCTTATAGGCACCAGCTGGAATAGTTGCTGATGGCACAGTTCTGAGATAGGATAGCTGGAACAGCAGCTGCTCCTCGCTGACCCAGTGGAATTGCTGCCTGTTCTTTCCCTCTGGTGCAGTCAGGTGAAAAGGAGTAGTGATGGCAACTTTTCTGGGAGGGGATGAGCCAAAAAGACCGTTTGTCTCAGCCAAGCTGATGGAATGAGCTTAGCTGTCTGTCCTCTGCCCCAGACACAGGATCCTTCCAGATGAGATTTTATCGTTGAATTAGCACTTTCCCGAATTGTTGTTGCTTTGCAGTATCCACACAGTTTCTTTATTACCAAAATACCAATCTAGACTTCCCCCTAATTTGTTCAGGATTTCACCTTACCACAGAAAACCTGGTGAGTAAATGAGAACCTGTTTTACATTGGCAGCCACCGCTGGTCTGGAAGCTTGGTGACACCTACTGGGACAGTGGTGGTCACAGGTATGGCAGCCCTCTCTACTGCCGCAGCCCCTGGTTCCCCTTGCTCTCCCCTTGAGCACAACCTTGCCATTTTCTTTCTGAAAGCCCAAATCATAGAATCAACTCGAATTGTGGAGATGGAAGGGACCCAGAGGGTCATGTGGTCCAACCCTCTGCAATGCAGGAATCTCAACTAAAGCGTCCATGGCAGAAAGCCATCCAACCTCTGCTTAAGAGAGCCAGTGCGCTGTAGTGGTTAAGAGCGGTGGACTTGTAATCTGGTGAACCGGGTTCGCTTCCCCGCTCCTCCACATGCAGCTGCTGGGTGACCTTGGGCTAGTCACACTTCTCTGAAGTCTCTCAGCCCCACTCATCTCACAGAGTGTTTGTTGTGGGGGAGGAAGGGAAAGGAGAATGTTAGCCGCTTTGAGACTCCTTGGGTAGTGATAAAGCGGGATATCAAATCCAAACTCCTCCTCCTCCTCCTCCTCCTCCTCCTCTTCTTCTTCTTCTAAACCTCCAAGGAAGGAGAGTCCATCACCTTCTGAGGCCACCAGTGGTTTGAGCCCACCCAGAGACAGCTGTGGGTAAGATTCCTGCATTGCAGGGAGTTGGACTAGATGACTCTGAGGGTCCCTTCCAACTGAGAGCCAGTGTGGTGTAGTGGTTAAGAGCGGTAGTCTCGTAATCTGGGGAACCGGGTTCGCGTCTCCGCTCCTCCACATGCAGCTGCTGGGTGACCTTGGGCTAGTCACACTTCTCTGAAGTCTCTCAGCCCCACTCACCTCACAGAGTGTTTGTTGTGGGGGAGGAAGGGAAAGGAGAATGTTAGCCGCTTTGAGACTCCTTAAAGGGAGTGAAAGGCGGGATATCAAATCCAAACTCTTCTTCTTCTGTATGATTCTATGATGGATTCTTTGATCCATCCATCCATCATGAGTCCTGCAGAAGTGGTCTCTTGCCCAAGCAAGAAGAAGCTGGGGCAGGGCAGCCACAGAACTCCAGGACCACTCTTAGGTCTGTGAGACCCTCTTGCCAGATACCCTGAAGAATGGCTGTGGGAAACTCACTGAACTGCTGGGATTGAGTGAGGGACCACCTTACTAAGAAGAAAGTAGAGTTGGATACCTTCCTCCATCAGTTCCCCTGGAACAGTCATTAAGCTAACTGGCCTATGATTTCTAGGTTCCCCCAGGACCCTTAGAACATCATTGTTTCAGGGCTACTGTTTAAGTGCTTAAATGCATGTTCTCGCTTTGGCAGCACTTTAATAAAGTGATGGATGATCTGAGAGGAAATTGAATGCATGATACTTACCTGACTTCTAAGGCAGCAAGCTTCTGGTAGATCTATTTCTGCTACAGCATGACCCTTCCTCCCACCACCCTGAAAACCCCTCCATTCTGCCCATTGTGAAACGTGCCTACTTTTGGAATTGTTTTTTTAAGGTGTCTACACACAGGTACAGAAATAGCTGCCCACATGCCCACATGTAAAGCCCCATGGCAGAAATGGTGAGCAACCAAAACAGAGAAGAACCAAAACGACCCAGTGGAAATCATGTGAGCTGCCAACACATGCACCCAGTTCAGACTAAGCGCACCCTCTCCCCACAGCCGTGCAAGTGCCACCATGAGCTTGTAAAGGCAAAGGGACCCCTGACCATTACGTCCAGTTGCGGATGACTCTGGGGTTGCGGTGCTCATCTCGCTTTATTGGCCGAGGAAGCAGGTGTACAGCTTCCGGGTCATGTGGCCAGCATGACTAAACCGCTTCTGGCGAACCAGAGCAGCACACAGAAACGCCATTTATCTTCCCGCCAGAGTGGTACCTATTTATCTACTTGCACTTCATGCTTTTGAACTGCTAGGTTGGCAGGAGCTGGGATCAAACAATGGGAGCTCACCCCATCGCGGGGATTCGAACCGCCGACCTTCTGATCGGCAAGCCCTAGGCTCTGTGGTTTAACCCGCAGCGCCACCCGCGTCCCATGAGCTTGTAGCCAACAGCAGTTACCTGAAGGCACCATTTGTGAGAACTGGAAGTACCAGCAGTGACTGAAACCTAATTGTTGCAATCATGCAAATTATAATAGCCACAAAAGACCGTGTCAGCTCAAAGCACTCGGAGACTGCTTGTTGTGGGGGTTGGGAAAAGTTCTTGCTTTTTATTTTATTTTCTCTGCAACACAGCATCTTAGGAAGCTCGTATGGAGTCAGCCCACTGGCTCATCTGGCTCAATACTGCCTACACTGATTGGCAGCAGCTCTCCAGGAATTCAGACAGAGGTATTTCCTAGCCTACCTGGAGATGCTGGACACTGAATCTGGGAGCATCCTTTCCCCTAATGATCAAATGTGATGTTTGAGCATTGGGATTGAAATATACTCGGAGTCGAGAGTGGATTTCATGCTCTTTATTCAGCTCATAGTGGTGAGGAGGACTGGAAGTTCCCCCACAATATCTGCTTTATATACATTATTTACACAATGGGTTGCACGTGATTGGCTAATTCTGGGATTCTCCTGTAGGTCAATCAGGTTGTGGATTCACTTCCACCTGGAGCTGGATTGAGTGGCTCCTGAGGACCAATCAGACTGCTGCATTGTTCTAGGACCAGTCAGACTGCTGCATTTTGGATCCTATTGTTCTAGGACCAATCAGACTGCTGCATTTTGGATCCTATTGTTCTAGGACCAGTCAGACTGCTGCATTTTGGATCCTATTGTTCTAGGACCAATCAGACTGCTGCATTTTGGATCCTATTGTTCTAGGACCAGTCAGACTGCTGCATTTTGGATCCTATTGTTCTAGGACCAGTCAGACTGCTGCATTTTGGATCCTATTCAACTCAGTACATAACAGGGATATAGCACAATCAGGGAATTGTGGCACGGATTATGGAAAATGATGCAAAGAGAAATTACAAAAACAAAAAAGGTCTACTTCAAAATCCTGGTGGTCTAGTTTCAACAACTGATGACACATATGATGGGCTGCGCTGCATCCTGCCAGGTACCACAGGACATGGAACAATGCTCTGTTTTGCAAAGAAGATGATGCTCACTTTGCCAGCTGACACTTAGACGTGTGGTGATCTACAGCTAGCTCAGGTACAAGGATGACTCAATGGGGATTCACTCGTAATTGACTCCAAGTGCTGACGAGAACATCTGGACAGCCAGCTCTGTCAGCAACCTGAGTTCCTTTAGACAGAAGGTTTCCCCAGCTTGGATGGTGTTGCTGAGTTGCCTTGAAGTTTGATGCCTCCCAGAGCCACTGGTGGAGCAGTGAAGCTGCCTGTGCAGCTGTGCTCCTCTGTGGAGAGAGCTTGGCTGTATTATTAACTCTCCGTCGCCAGAAGAGCCAGAGCAGTTCGGAAAAGAGCCACAAACCATGCAAGCCAATGTCACAGAAGGCAGCAATCGCTCAAATGGGAGCTCTGTCAGCCTGGATTCCACACTTGTCACTTGCACAGAGACAGTGACTTTCACTGAAGCGGAGGAAGAGGAATTGGAATCCTTCTATTATTCCTTCAAGGTATGTTCCGCTTTCCTGCGGCCACTCGCTTTTCTTATTATGATGATCCAGCGGCTTGGCAGGCAGGCAGAGCTCGCCAGTGGGGCACTGAATGCTTTTGCTTTGAGTTGGCAGCTGATTCCTGCTCCTCAATTTGTTTCAATGAGGACTTCGAGGTCAAAGAGGTCTGTGTTGTTTTTTTTCAGTTGGTGATCAGTGGGAGGAAATTTCAGTGTTCAGCGAAGAGCAGGAAAGCGATCTTTGTGTAACCAAAGGATGGTATATAGATATTGAATTGCTTAGCTGAGTATGGAGTTTTCCTCTTTTTGGAAGCGATGTTTCAGCTGATGTTTCTAATGCAACAATAAACAGCATATTTATGATTGCATTCCTATTCCTGTGTCTTGAAATTAAGATTGCTTAGATTAGTTTACCTCCTTGTGTTTCTCCGTTAAGTGTGGTGCAAATTGATGGAGCTATAGAAATCGCTACCAACACGTAGCCTTCCCAACAAATGTACTCTAAGCAACAGGCAGCTGAGTTCTGTGATTATGAAAAGCTGTGCCGTCTTTTGAGGCTGTCTACCTCCCTTGCAAGTTTAATTGACTTGTATAAAAGTTTCTGAGGCTGTAATTTTCAAGATGCTGTTGGAGAGGGAGATTTGTGAATGGAGACAATTTGTTTTCAGCCCTCTCATTGGAGAGTACCTTGCTATCGCCATCACTTTTCAGCAGGTGAAGTTTGGGAGGGGGGAACCTGAACAGAATCATGGCAAACATTTAGTTTATAGCATAATTGTCTGGGCTGCTGCCAATCCTTTGATGGATTTAATTTCATCAGGTGGCTACGCATGTGGGTTTGTGTGTGTCACAACAAAACTGACAGCGATCAGGCAGCATCGGTCAGCGTGGTTTCAAAAATGAGAAGTTGGAAAAGGTCTTTCATCCCTCTGAGGAAGTGTAATGGATCTAGTAGATCTAGGGGTTCAGGGCACATCTGCATAGTAGATGGCCATGGTTGTTTCTGGCTCTCTAGCACACAAGCAGAAAAGGCAGATCAACATGGCTGTGCCCTGAGAGAAAGGTAGTAAGAGCCCTGGTAGATCAGGTGTGTTCAATTCAACATCCTGCACAGGGCAGCCCAAGACATTTTGGCACCTGAGGTGAACCCCAAAATGGTGCCCCTCTCTCTGCCAGGGAAGAAGGGTGAGGGAAGATCTACATAAGGGTAAAAAAGTGGAAAGGAAGTTGTCATTAGGATCTGCTGCCCTGGTGGATTCTGCTGCCTGAGGCAGTCACCTCACCTTGCCTCATGGTTAAAGGTAAAGGGACCCCTGACCATTAGGTCCAGTCGTGGCTGACTCTGGGGTTGCGGCGCTCATCTCGCTTTATTGGCCGAGGGAGCCGGCGTACAGCTTCCGGGTCCTGTGGCCAGCATGACTAAGCCACTTCTGGCGAAACACAGCAGCGCATGGAAACGGCGTTTACCTTCCCGCCGGAGCGGTACCTATTTATCTACTTGCATGGTGTGCTTTCGAACTGCTAGGTTGGCAGGAGCAGGGACCGAGCAACGGGAGCTCACCGCATCACAGGGATTCGAACCACCGACCTTCTGATCGGCAAGTCCTAGGCTCTGTGGTTTAACCCACAGCGCCGCTCTAATCCTACACGCCACAGTGGCCAGGAAGCCCACAAACAAGACTGGAAGGCATTTGTCTTTGGGGGACAAAACTATTATATTTGAAAATGTGTAACAAAATTACGATGGCCACTTCTGTTAGAGGAGAGATTTTGGCTTGGGACAATTGGAAGTGGAAAAGCTTATCTCTTCCCCTGTCCATTGCTTCCCCCCCCCAGCTGTCTCCCCTCCCTGCTTCTTGCAAACACATGTCTGCAGCATTCCCTCAGCCGCGTCGCCCACATTATAGGGAAATCTGATGGGTGGAGGAAGGGTTAAGCACTCCCTACCGCCACGGATTCCCCACTGCAAATCACCACCTTCCAAAGCTGCTTTCACCTCACTAGGATTTTGTTACACATGTGTGCATGTATATCCAGTTCTGCCCTCTGCCTAGGTTGAATCCCTGGCATATGAAGACTACAGGTATAGGATGCACTGCAAGTGAGCATCTAATTTCCTAAATAAGCATACATAGATGTGCTTTCATGCAGAGAGGAGTGAAGTGAGCATAGGCACAAGCATACTGAGAGCAATCTATTTAATGGTAAGCATTCTCAAATCCCATTGATTTCAGTGCGAGAGAGGGAATCAAGGGCTGCACTCTCCCATTGAAATAGATGGGACTGGAACATGTTTTAACTTTGGCTGGGAAGCCCTTTCCTTCCACATAATGGGCACAACCCCGATATGTGTTATGGATGCATGCAAGAGGAGAATGGCATGGATCCTGACAGTGTGGGCAGGAGCAACTTAGCCACCCAGCTGGACATGCCTCCCTCTTTACCAAAGTGGGCAAATGTTAAGAATGCAAGGCAAGCCTGTTGGATCAAACTGATGGCCCATTTAGTCCAGTATCCTCATAGTGGCTGGCTAGATGCCTGTGGGAAGCTCGCAAGCTGAACATGAGCGCAATGACACTCTGCCTACCTGCAATTTCCAGCCACTGGCATTCAGAGCCACAATGCCTCTGGCAGCAGAGTAGCCATCATTCGTTATGCGGCAGATGCAAAACACTTTGAAAATGGAACTGGGCTCTGATTCCGTAAGAAGCACCTTTGTAGAAAAGAGCGCAAGTGAATTTCCCAGTACAAAGGCTTTTTGCAATTGGTTGCAGCTGAAGCCCCATTGCCGTCTCTCCTTCCAGCAGGTTTACAAGAAGGACGTGTGTGTGTGTGTGTGTTGCTTTGTTATGAATTTCGGCTGGATTCTGCTTGAAATGGAAAAATAAAGTCAAGAAGCTCTCTTTCTCTCTTATCTTTCTGGTATTGACATCTGTCTGTGAACCTAAACAACAGCAGCAAAAGCAGCAGCAGCAGCAGCAGCATAATAATAATAATAATAATAATAATAATAATAATAATAATTAGTAGTAGTAGTGATTGGGAATAAAGAGAGTGAAAGCTAGTTAACCTTTCCAATTTAAAGATAAATATCCAAGCAGGTCTTGTTGCTAGATACAACAGAGCACCTAGGACCAATCAAAAATAGGAAACAACATAAAGAGAAGCAAATATTAATTCCTAATGTAACAAATGCCTCTTGATTGCATCACACACACATGAAGCTGGGATGTTGTTTCATCCTGGGGCATTTGTTTTGTAGGGACAAGTATTCATTACAGGGACCTGTGTAAAATATCCATTTTTAGACTTCCTGCTTTCTGAGCCTACGATCGTAAGCAGGAAACACCACTTTCAACTTTACAACTTTGACTTAAGGCAGCACACTGCCATTGACTTTAGTGGCTTTGCAAATTCTTCCATTTTTTTTCTGAGGGGGGGGTCATCCACATGATAGTGGCCCCCATCTCCAACCCCCCTGCCAACATCTACTAGCAATTTCATGGAGACGTGGAATAACATGGGAGCCATGCAGAAAGTACCCAATATAATCCCCAATTTTTAAAAAGGGGTATTGGAAATTATAGGCCGGTTCGTTTAATGTTTGTCGCTGGAAAACTGGGTGAAAAGTTCACACTGAGTCATCTACACTGAATCATTCAATATGTATATCTTCTGGGAATTTGCTGACTTGTCGCAAGAACTGGAGCTTTATGGGCAAAAAAGCACCGTATATACAGTGAGGGGGGGGAGTATTTGATCCCCTGCTAAATTTGCAGGGGTTTCTGACTTTTGTCTTCTGGGTTTCTGGGGGTTTTCCTGTTGTTATTCTGTCTCTCACAGCTACAATAAACCTACCATTAAAATTATGGACTGGTCATTTCTTTATCAGAGGGGCAAACGGACAAATTTAGCAGGGGATCAAATACTTTCCCCCCTCACTGTACATAAAGGCCATATACACACATGGACCATGGAGAGGGGAGAGCAGGGGGAAAGGGGGGGGACTCTATCAGAGGTGTGCAACCATCTCCATTCTATGTCACAGCTGGTGCTTTATGAGAAAATGTGGGGTGAAAGAACCCATCTCTTGCCAGAAGTCTTCACTCAAGGAAGCGGGAAGCCTGCTCCAGGAAGCCAAACTTTTCATTTCCAGAGAAAAAACAAAGAAGATCAAACATAAAAATCTTGTCCCACCCCAGAGGAGCAACAATGAATAATAATAATAATAATAATAATAATAATAATAATAATAAATAAATAAATAAATAAATAAAAATAAAAATAAAGTTATTTATACCCCGCCCTCCCCAGCCAAGACTGGACTCAGGGCAGCTAACAACCAATAATAAAAACAAGTTGATTAAAATACAATTAAAAAAACAAGATTAAAATACAACATTAAAACATTAAGATGCAGCCTCTTCACAGGAGGAGAAAGGAAAAAAGAAAGAGGGAGAGGGAATCAAATTGGCTCCAAGCCAAAGGCAGGCGGAACAACTCTGTCTTACAGGCCCTGCGGAAAGAAATCAGATCCCGCAGGGCCCTGGTCTCATGAGACAGAGCGTTCCACCAGGCTGGAGCCAGTGTTGAGAAGGCCCTGGCTCTTTTGAGGCTAATCTGACTTCCTTAGGGCCTGGTACCTCTAGGGTGTTGCTATTTATGGACCTTAAGGTCCACTGTGGGGCATACCAGGAGAGGTGGTCCCGTAGGTACAAGGGTCCTAGGCCGTGAAGGGCTTACAGGTTTCCCCCACAGGTAGCAAGACTCGCTGCCTCCTCTATTCTCTCCTTCCCTGGCATCGGGCAGTGCAAGCTGTGCTAGTTTGGAGACTGCCGTGGAAAATCCCGAGGGAGTGCTCAGTATGTCATTTGAAGCTTGATTCCACTTCTGCTGAAACAACGATTGCATGATGATTCTTTTCAGGCTGTAATCCTGCCCCCACTTATCTGGCCATAACTCCATTGAACTCAGTGCATAAGATTGCCCTGTTAAAGTCAT